AAGGAATATTGGGATCCCCAAAAGGTAGGAATAAGGAGGAGGTGGTGTGAAGTGGTCCTAGAAGTGGAAACAAGCCCACTGTGTGCAGGGAGCTGAGCAGAATCACCAAATACAACCAGTGGGGATGTGGGAAGTAGGTGAGGAATGAGGCTAGGTAAAATATAGGGAAGCTTGCAAGTCAGGAGAGGCTATCCATCACTAGGCAGTCCTGAGTGCTGAAAGGCAGCCATCCTGGTTTCCATCTGGTATAACCTGGATAGCCTTCCTTTATCCTAGAAGCTCACAGTGGTTGCTATGGGAATTGATTGTAAGTAGGCTCAGGTGTCAAAGACAATGAGCCAGCAGAAAAGCCAATCAGGAAACCACTAAGCTTCAGGAGAGAATTGGAGCTCCATCTTGCAGGAATCAAAATGTAGCCTTTGACCCACTGCTCTCAATTCCCCTCCCCCCTGAGCCTCTGGTAACCACTATTTTCCTCTATACTTCTATGACAGCAACCATGTTGGATTCTGCAGTCACATAGAAGTAATGAGTTCTGGCATTCTATTGCACAAAGTGACTGTAGTTAATAATGTTTTATATTTCAAAACACTGCCGTAGATGATTGGGAAGGTTTTACCAAAAGAAATGACAAAGAGTTTGAAGTGCTGGTTACTCTGATCTGATCATTCTACATGTATACATGCATCAAAATATCACATCTCACTCCTAAATATGCATTACTACTATGCATCAAAATAAAAATTTACAAAACTGGAGCCCTATCTTGCCATGAAATATTAACATTTGGCCCTATATACTTGACTTCGACCAAAATATGAGTGATCACAACCCTGAAATCTGTGCTAATAGAGCCACCAAATTAAAAAATGCTCAGAGAATCAGCAGCTGCTGAATTCAGCCCTGAGGGAGAGGCAGGCTCTCTCTTCAATTCCTTATTCCACCTAGCTTCTGGTTTCATATTTGCTTCGAGGGGCTTGCAGTGGCCCCAGAGGTACTTAGCAATTCTAGTCCCGTGTTTCAAGCCAAAATTCATCTTAGCCAGAAAGGGTGCTTGGTGCAAAATTAGACTCCCAGATGCTGGGAGGAGAAATCGGGTCAGTGAAGAGCTCAGATGTTTCATCTTTAAGGTACTCAATTAATCTATGCTTAATGGGTTAGGACATCTTCACCAGTTTGGCTTCTTGGGCCCCCCTCTCCGAGGGATTCTGATGTCTAAGGGGTATCGGGCCTGGGCCTGGGCTTTTGTATTTTAATAACCATTCTTTGGTGGTTCTTATTATTGGGTAAGTTTTAGAAAGAGTGGGTTAGTACATGCTAATGTTAGTAAAGGGGTGAACATGTTTGTAAAGAACAATATAGTAAATATTTTAGTATTTATAAAATAAACACACTAACCCCAAAGCAGCCACAGGTGATACCTAAATGAAGATCATGACTTTGTTCCAATCAAAATTTATTTATAAGAACATGTAGTGGACAAGGTTTGGCCCAGGCGGGCCTGTCACCCCCTGGGCCCTAAAGCATTGGTTTGCATGTTTCAGTATTGTAAGTCAAAGTATTACAAACTTTAGGCCCCACAGCTGAGCAGATGATGGGGGACGGGAAGACCTTTATGAGCCACTTTGTGTCCCTCTGGATGTCAGACTTCACCTGTATCTAAGCATCAGGCTAGACATGACTCTGATATCTAGCAGAGAGCAGCTGGCAATGAGTGAGTCACCATCAGCAACCGAGACTGAAGACTGAGAATAGGACGGAGTCTTCGAGACCAAGACGACAAGGGTCAATGAGGAATGAGGCATAAACAAGCTGAAAATAGCTCTGAAACAGACACAGCGAACTGATTCTCATCCCTGAAAACGCCGGCAATTCTGCTTCCTTTGTGGGTTTGCTCCTGTAAATACCTGAGTTTTCGTCCACGCGGTGGTATCAGCGTTCCTAGGACTGGTTGTAATTTAGATTTTCATAGGAACAGCAACACTGTTGGCCTCTCCAAATGTGTGTATACATAAAACAGCATGTTCCTTGTTCAAATCTATTGCACAGGACAAAGGTAGACCCAGAATCTGCGACAGAAATGTCAGCCCGCTGCAAAGAGGACTAATCAGGGTTCAGGAAATTGGAGTTCTGCTTCTTTGGATATACTGAGGCAGCCCCATCCTCCTTTCTCTGCACTTCTGTTTCTCATGCAAAACTGGATGGTGGGCTGTGTGGCCCACTCAGCTCCCTGAGATGCCTTGCTCCACTCTGTGAAAACTGACATGGAGAAAACTGACAGCATAGCCGGGTGGTGGTGGCGCACGCCTTTAATCCCAGCACTCGGGAGGCAGAGGCAGGCGGATCTCTGTGAGTTCGAGGCCAGCCTGGGCTACCAAGTGAGTTCCAGGAAAGGCACAAAGCTACACAGAGAAACCCTGTCTCGAAAAACCAAAAAAAAAAAAAAAAAAAAAACTGACAGCATGTGATTTCAGAGAAGGGAGGTGGACGGGCGGCTAGCAGGTCAAACAAAGAGTCCACTAGGTTTGCACTTGTGGCATCTTAGTGAAAAAGAGGCGACTGAAAATTGCATCAAACCGAGTTGTCCAAACAGAGAGGCCTGCAGATTGATCTGGTCCATCCCCTTTGCTTCTGTCTCTGTCTGAAGCCCCTCACCCCCCCCCCCACACACACACCCAGGATTTAAGCACCCAGATGTGGAACATACAAAGACATTGATCTCATGAACAATCACCACTGTAATCGCTTTCGGCATCCGTCTCCAGCCTGGATTTTCTATTGTCTGCTGCCAGCAAATTGCCCCTCACCCCCATGCCTCAGGATGAGAACTGTGATATTCCTTGGCTGCAGGTTTAAAAAAATTGAACAGGAGACCCTGTCTCAAAACACACCACACACACACACACACACACACACACACACACACACACACACTGATGTTCTGGCTCTAACCTATGTAATTGGCCTGGGGTGGGGTCTGGACCTTGGAGGCTTTTCAAACCTCCTCCAAGCATTTCTTCTGTGTGGCCAGAACCAAGACCCACTGCTGGAGTTCCCGCTGGACTCAGGTAGAAGAAGTGAATTTTTATGATCTGTGCTCTGTGGGAGATGTGATTGTTGACCCTATTGAACATAGCTAGGCCCAAAGCTGACATGATGAGGACAGTTTGTTTCTGATGTGCCTTGTTCTTAGGACTCAGCCCTCCTGTGGCTGCTCTGGTAAAGGAATCCTAGCCACGGTGTAAATGGCATATAATAGCTTAATGTACTGCCTTAATGTACAGCTGGCGTGGACCTTTGGGGTTTAATACAAAGGAATCCCTGATGGAAAGACTCACAGTCTTTATGGCAAGGCCCATGGAAGAGGTATTTAAAGTGGCCCCGAACCTGATCTATCCCTCAGTCCTCATCTCAGTAAATGACAACCCTGCTCTTCCTATGGACTTCTCTCTTTCTCGCTCCCCATATCTAACCCATCAATGTATGATCTTGGTTCAGTCTTCGAAATATGTCCAGAATAGACTCACTTTGATCATTTTCATTCCTGTCATCCTAGCCCATGCCAACATTACATTTGAAGTGTCTCACTGCAATAACAAATACTGCATTTAGCCACACCTAACTGGTCTTACCATTAACCTCCTATACTCCACTTTCTTCACAGCAGCCAGAGGCATACACATACATCAAACCCCATCTACTTAAAACTCACCAGTAGAATGAAATCCAGAGTTCTCACCATGACTTACAAGGTCCTACATGACTCGGCTTTCAGCTGCCTCTTAGAGCATGTCCCCTCTGGTCCCCATTCCAGAACTGTATTCCAGTTACAGGGATCCCTGTCCACCTCAATCCTATGCCCACCTCAGGGGCTTCACTATTATTTTTCGTAAGCAGCCTCTCTCTCCTGGTAGCCTCATAGCATCTCTGCCTTGTTTCCTTTGGGTCTCTGACAAATGTCACCTTTGCAGATAGTTCTTCCATAACCATAAGATGTAAAATACTTCCCCCTCCCCTAGAATGTGTTTGTGTATGTGTACATGTGTGTTTGTATCCAATACATATGTTCCCAAAGGAATTGAAACCAATGCCTCGAGGAGATACTCACATTCATGTTCCCCTTAGAACTGTTCACAGTCCTCAAGATATGGAGCCAATCTAAGTGTCTGTAGACAGAGGAAAAGGCAAATGCATTGTGGTACATATATATGACAGAATATTATCCTGATTCTAAAGGAAGGAAACTGTCTGGAGGCTCTGGGTGCAATCTTTCTATATTGCAAGGGGAATCAAAAGCGAATTCTGTTGTTTGTTACATGGATGAACCTGGAGGACATTGTGTTACATGAACTAAGCCAGGCACAGAAAAATAAAGACCTTATGATCTCATTGATACATGAAAAACAAAAATAGGAGAGTCACAGACACAGAGTAGAACAGTGGTAACCAAGAGCTGGGGGCCAAAGGGGAGGACGGGGAGATGCTGTTCAGAGTCCCAAGTGGCAGGTAGAATACATTGGTATAGCTCTAGTGCAAAGTTAAGAATAACGCGATTGGAGGTTTCAAAACTGTGAAAATAGCAATCAATTCTACTATGCCCGCCCTTGCCATTCTCTTGTGTAGTCCTTTATGCCTGCTTTATTCTTTTTTCATACCACAGCCACCCCTTAGCTGCAAGGCTATTCCAAGCCCCCAAGTGGATGCCTGTAACATGCACAGAACTGAAATATATATATATATATATATATGAAACAAAACAATTAAGAGAGAGGTGTGGCACATGCCTTTAATTCCAGCACTCAGAATGCAGAGGCAGACTGATCTCTGCCTTCAAGGCCAGCCTGGTCTACAGAGCTAGCTCCAGAACAGCCAGGGCTACACAAAGAAACTGTCTCAAAAAACAGGGCAGGGGAGAAAGAAAGATAGAGAACAATTTTAACATTAACAAAAATTTATTTTAAATGGGTTAATTGTTTCTGGAATTTCCCATGTTATATTTTTGAACTGAAGTTAATAATCAGTCACTATAATCACAGATAAAACTGAAAGCTGGGCATGATGGCACATGCCTATAATCCCAGAACTTGGATACTGGTGTTAGGAGGACCAGAACTCCAAGGTCATCCTTGACTACGTAGTGAGTTCAAGGCCTGTCTAGCTTCCATGACACACTGTATCAAAAGAAAAAAAAGAGCAAAACATAAAATTGCAGAAAGAACTACCATAGTTATGTGTTACATAAAATATATTTATTAGCCAGACATAGCTCTACACATTTGTAATCCTAGCACTTAGGAGGCAAAGACAAGAGCATCACAAGTTCAAAGCCAGCCTGGAATATATATATATATATAGTGAGCCCTATCTCTAAAAAAAAAGTTTTTGTTTTAATTATCTCTTTGTCCCTGATAGAACAGACACACCATAAAACCACAAGGCCATGGAATTCGGTCAGTCTTACTTACTCCTGTATCCCTCATCATCTAGAACATTGACAGGCAAATGACAGCTGCCCTTTAATTAATCAAATGAATAAATAAATATCCCTAAAGACATAAGATTGCCCTTCAGCATGACTCTTGCATTTCCTGGTTGCTAGGCTGCCTGCAGCTCAGCAGAAGACTAGAATCCTGAAGGGAGGTGGTCTCCACAGGGGATTGGGTTCAGGACATCCCCATAGATATGTAAATCATGGATACTCAAGTCCTTTATACGTATATATAATGGCATAGTATTTGCATGGAACCTACCTATACCATCCAATATACTTCAAATCATCTCTAGATGACTTGGGGATTCTGAATACACAGTAAATGCTATGTAAATAGTTGTTACACTGGATTGTTTAGGGAATGAAGGCAAGAAAAATATCTGTATGTGTTCAGTACAGAGGGTTTGGTGGTGATGGTGTTGTTTCATGTATTTTTAATATGTGCTCGGTTGAGATGCAAGGATGCAAAGCTGTGGGTAACAAGGGATGACTGTGGTTTACAATGTTTGCTAATCATGCTTCCTGCTGAGTTTTGGGAAAGTTTTCAAGAATAAGAGAGCCTGACTGATTCTTTGGGCATTTCATGCAGAATTGAGTAAACAAAGTGATGCAGCGTTTAGAAGTAGAAAGCCAGGGGCACTGAGCTAAATCGCACATATCTCTCTTCCTGAATAGTTCAGAAAGTGTGGGTGAGTCATTTTGGAGAGCTGGGTTTCTTCTCTCTCAGATCTCAAAAATATTTGTTATAAGTCTCTGTTCTAGGGGTGTATCTATGAGATGAATAAGATTATTTCTGTAAGTCCTCTGGGAAGTGTGTATTCACACACAATACCATTTAAGCTGATCTCATATTAAGAAAACTGAATATGTAAAATTCAATGTATATTATTACTGAAGAATTTTTTCTGCAAACCTCCTTAGGCTTAGAGTATTCGTATGGGATTCAGTTTATCCAAATTCAATTCATGCCCAGCTTTTACACAACACACCAATCATACAGGGAGACAATTAGCACATTGCCTTATAGCACATTGCCTTGCACTTAATAGGCAATCAATACTTCTCTATTGAGGCATGGATCATTAAGGCAAAATATCTCTGTACTTGGACATTTTGTTTTTGAGACAATGTCTCACAATTGTGGTTCAGGCTGGTCTCAAACTCATAATCTGCAAGCTCAGCCTCTTGAGTTCTTGGGATTACAGGTGTGTACAACCACACTTGGTTGTATTGAGACATCTTAACTCTAATAGTAAAGGAATGGAGTACTCACCAGCCCTTTGCTCTTTTTTCAGTCCCCCAAATCTGCCTTCATCAGTGCTGCAAAGAAGGCCAAGCTGAGGTCCAATCCTGTGAAAGTCCGATTTTCTGAGCAGGTGGCAGTTGGAGAAACAGATGCAGTAAGTATGGCTTTGGCTTCCCTCCTCTATCCTTGGCCAGAATCAACCTGGCTATTGAGGTCTCAATCAGGGCCTTCTGGCAGTGGATGCCTTTATGAAGGAGTTGGAGCAGAAGGATCCTGGTGCTTTGAGTGAGTGGTTACTGAGGAGAGAAGAGTGTGTGGCATCCAGAGAGGATTGGGAGGGAGGGAAAACAACATATTGATTCACTCTGGATCTTCATGGTGCTTAGAGAAATTTCTGTCCATAGCACAATAGCGTACACTCAGGGCGAGTGTTCCATAAACATCTTTTGGCTGCTTGGCAGAAGCAGAGAGGAAGTGATGGTTTTGTGAAGACCCAGAGAACAAGTGGCTGGTGAAATTGAACTCTCTTGAAATTTAAGTGGCCCTGCAATTCCACATCTTGACTGGAGAAGACTGCACTGATGGGTAGCCGCTTACAAGAAATAATACAGACTGTTTTTCCTACACACCAGAAGGGATCCAAAAGGAATACCTGCTCCCTGCCACTAGCTATCTTTCAGTGGGGTGGGGTGGGGGTGAGGGGTGGACAAGTGGTCCAGACTGGGACTATAGCAAATCTTCTGCTGTGTAGTATCATCTCAAAGAGCAGCTAAGGTTGGCCAGTCCATGTCCCGCAGCTGCCAATCTAGGGATTCATGGCCAGCCCACAGATTCCTTGCCATTTTGTGGGGTGTGCACGCAATGAGCCATCTAACCCAAGATGTGCATGTGCAAAACAGGTAGGTGGAGAGCAGAAGTCGGTGTGTGCAGCAGTCATGAATTCTGGCCCAGCATCCCCCAGAAATCTGCAGATGTTGGTGATGCCCCAGTGGGAGTAGAGATAGCTGGAGCTAACAGGCACTGGTGTGCTTTTGTAGGCAGTGGTGGGATGGGCTGTCAGGAAGCTTGATCATGTATGTACTAAGATACAGCTGCAGTTGTGGAAAGACATAACGGCACTCCCAGAACGAGCAGAGAAATCAGCAGGATGCCGGGCGTTTTTGTAGTTTTCAGAGGTAGAGCCACCTGGAAGAAAGGAGAGAGGACACAGGTGTTGTCCTCTATTCCCCGCCTCTTTTCCTCAAGCCCAGGCCACACCTTTCTGTATCCCTGTGTGAGGAAGACTGGGAAGCTCAAAGGACAACCAGAAGACGGTTTGTTTAGTTAACACTCAGGATCCATGTCAATCCCGAGAGAAGCAGTTAAAGAGACCTGACGGTTGATGATCAGCGAGGAGAGGGAACAGGATTGAGCCCTATTTGACCTATAGGTCAAAGTGAAATGGATTGCAAGGTCCAAGTCACTGATGAGACATTGGTGTTCTGAACTGTTGAAAATTCTGAGGGCATAAGCTTGAGTTTGCAAAATATGAACAGGTGTATCATATCCCATCTCAAAATTTCAGTCAAGGCCAGGACACTCAGTGAAGAACTCCTGCCCTCCTCTACCTCTTCTCTCCTTTTCTTCCTTCATCTCCTTTCCATTCTCCAAGTTCCATACCTTGCAGCTAGGCCACAGGCAGAATGAAGAGCCATCTCCAATTCAACCATAATAGCAACTGCCCCAGGGCAGCTAGAACCTATCCAGAGTTGACTTCTCTCTCAGACAGGTACCAAGCTTGGCTTGAGACTCTGTCTAGGGGGAGAAACACATCCGTCTTCCAACCCTCACGGTTGCTGCCTGTGTGCACCATAGCAGTCTGCTAAGACCTGGGGAGTCCAAGTCCAGGTGACTCCAGGCTGCCCCATCATCCCCTACCCCTTGTGTTCCAAGGCTTTATTAAGCAGCCAGAACAAAAATAAATCCTGTGGGCGTTCCTTGCCAACTCTATTTTTAAGCAAAATCAATTAAGTAATTATCTAAGTCCAACCCAGTGTGCTAAATAAAACTTGCCACCGCTGAGCGTCATCAGCCTGGGGAGCTGGGCCTCGGGGCCAGGCAGGAGTGGGGCATCTCAGAATCAGAAAGGCCTGGACATCGTCATCACACTTTTCCAAACTGATATCCATGGCTTTCCTCCTTGGTTTGACCCCATTCAAACTTGCCTCCTGGCTCCCCACCACTGTCAGCCACACCCAAGCTCAGGAGGACTTGCTTATTTGGTACTTTGTCCACAACAGCGGCTGGATCTGAACTGTTCTCCTCTGCCTTCTCTGATAATCTATACCAACTATCTCATTCGAAACTCAGAATTCAATTCGCCTTACATAGAAGCCTCACCTGCCTTATACCAGTTAGTTTGTTTGAGATTCATAATATTCAGACAAGCCAGGGCTTGGCAACAAGAATGCAAGTTAGACTCTCTCTGTCTCTGTCTCTCTCTGTCTCTCTCTCCTCACTCTCTTTGAAACAGAGTCTCAGTGTGTATCCCTGACTGTCCTAGAACTCCCTATGTATGCCCGGCTGACCTCCAACTCACAGAGACCCACCTGCCTCTGCCTCTCAGTTGCTTAGATTAATGATGTATGCCACCAGGCCCATCTTGGGGCCTCTAGTTTTGCTTTAGCTCCTTGGGTTCTCAGCAGGAGCTGATTATGCAATAAAGGCAGCCACTTAGTTAAAGAATCTGGCCATCTATATACTACAGGCACCCATAGAATGGATGCTGCTGGACCCAGGAAATGTGTGCATCCTCTTTGTGAATTTAATCATTCAAGTAGGCACATAGTAAGCATATAGTAAGCACCTATTGTTCATTCATTTAGCAGTCACTTATTCAGCACCAACTATGTGCCAGGCATGCTATTCATTGTTGGCACCACAAAGATGACTAGATGTGATCTTTGTGCTCTGAGTTTACTGTTTGATTATAAATGACAAATGTTCTTTAAATATAGTTGGATGCTAGGTATGGTGATATATGTCTGTAGTCCTAGTACTCAGAGGGAAAAAAAAGAAAAAAGGAACCAGTCTAAGCTACATAGCCAGTTACTCTGGGCTGTATAACAGGACACTGTCTTGGAAATAAATAAATAAATAAATATTGTGCATGGTAGCACATTTGTAATCTTAGCACTTTGGAGTTAGAAAAGGGAGAGTTGTGAATTTGAGACCAGTCTGGGCAACATAGGAAGACCCTATCACAAAAAGTGTGTGTGTGTGTGTGTGTGTGTGTGTGTGTGTGTGTGTGTGTGTGTGTGTGTCTGAGAAAGGAGTATGAAAGTTGCTATAGGAAAACATGGGAAGATTAGATTTCATGATATTGGACCAAAGCTTTACAAAACACTTATTTGAGCTTGATTTTGAAGGTTGAATAGGAGCTTGCCAGGGAGAGAAAGAGGAAGGCAGAGAGAATGACCATTATTAAATTGAATTTCCGTTAAGTGAGAAACTCACATTCACCATTTATAAATGAAACCCTGTGCCCAGAAAACTTCTGCTAAGGAATTATCAGGTGTTCAGACACAGACTCTGACAGTGGTTCCGAATCGGGATCAGTGAAGCCCACTTTCAAAGAGCTTTTGGGGATGTTTTGGGAATGATTTGTGTGTGTCTGTGTGTGTGCTATGTGCACTTAGTATCTCAGGGAGAGAGACACTCGGAGCCCTGAAGGGAGTAAGCCAGTCCCGGAATAATGAATTGTCAGAGACATGGAGGCATGAAAGAAGTAAAGCTTCTAGCAATGGTAAGACATGAATCCAGAGAGGCAGACAGGGTCCAGGTCAAAAAGGATCTAAAGAACTAGGCATGGTGGCACACACCTTTAAGCCCAGCACTTGGGAGACAGAGACAGGTGGATCTCTGTGATCCTGGCCAGCCTGGTCTACTTGATGAGTTACAGACTAGCTGGGGCACATGGTAAGAACCTGTCTCTAAAAGTCAAAGAGAAAAGGGACCTAAGGAGATAGCAAAGTGGCTCAGCAGTGGAGTGCTTGCCTGGCATGGGCAAGGCTCTAGGCACCATCCCGAGCACCAGAGAATGGCAGAATAAAGGCAAAGATGGGCTTGTGAAGGGCCTGGTGGGAAAAGAAGTATCTGGAGATAAACTGGGGTGTGTGAAGTGGTCCCAAAGAAGACTCTTCATGAGCCATCCATGCTGTGTATAATGGTCTCTACTGATCCAGTGCTGTGTAACGCTACAGAGCTTCAAACTGCAGTAGAATGCAAATACACCATGATAGAAAAGGAGAAGTGGACTTTGGCTATGGCTCAACATTTTCCTGGGGATTTTGTTCTGATCTGCATGTAGCATTATTGTTGATCTTGTCTTTCCTCTGTCTCTTTGTTCTCATATCCCTTCATCTCCCTACCTCCCTCACCTTCTTGCCCTTCCTTTCTACAAACCCTTCTGCCTTCCCCCCTTTCCTGTGTGTCCACAGAAAATGATGAAGAAGGAAGCTCTCCTCCTCATCCCCAATGTCCTGAAGGTTTTCCTAGAAAATGGGCAGATCAAGTCATTCACATTTGATGGCCGGACCACTGTTAAGGTACACGAGGCATCCCCTCACCTGGGGCAGCTGTTCATTTGGGTTCCTCTGAGATTGCACACAGTGGCTTCACTGCTGGAACAAGATTGCCTTTGATCTGTGCTCTGGAGTGTGAGGCTGTGAAAATGTATAATCCTCAGATGAGGCTGGTAGTAGAAAATTGCATACCCAGCTGTGTGCTAATTGTTGTAAAAATGTGTGTGTGACACATACACACACACACACACACACACACACACACACACACACACGAATGCACATCTGCTTGTCAACTACTTTGTGTTCATGCTACACCGGGTCCTTCAGGACTCTTAGGAGCTAAGCAATGTGAAGATCATTAAGCCATTTATAAAGCTAAAGTGATTTATATTGATACAATAACACCTACGCAAGTTTACACACAGAAATAAACAAATGTCATCTCTTGGGAGATTAGCTTAGCCATGTCTTGCTTTTTAAATAACAACCAAATCTTAGGCACTGAAGCAAGATTTGAGAAGTCCAGCCACAGCCCTTTGGCTATTCTTTTCACAGGAAGAGCAATTACTGAACTGTGATTCTTAACAGCTCAGCCAGGCGTCCAAAAGTTCTAGTGATTCCTTAGTCCTGAAGAGTAGAAGTGTGATACAGTTTACCCCGAGGTTCACTCTATAGTAGGACAGAAATAGCTATCCCTGACTCTTCGGGACTCTCGCCAGAAGGAGAATGCCAACCCAGGAATGAATGTTCTTATGCAACCAATGCTGCCCAGCAATCTGGGCAGTTATGACACCTGCCCAAGAAACCTACCTGGCCCACAGCTGTCCTGTGGTTCCCATGCAAGATCCAAGATGACCCTATAAATAAAAAATCCCATCAGGTACAGTGACATAAGCCTGTAAACCTAGTACTCAGGAGGCTAAATCAAGAGAATTACAAGTTCAAGGCCAGCCTGTGCTACAAGAGGAGACCCTTTGGGAAAGAAATAGAGGAGAGAGGAAAAACTACCCTCAGCTAGAAAACTCTTATTCAGAGGAATGATCAAGTGTTCAGAATGGCCTTGCCAGTGTTTTTCTACTGGAGTTTACAGATCATATTGGTTTAAGGAATGTCTAAGAGTGTTTTGGGGTCATCCCATGTTATGTCATGCTACTGGCATTTAGCATCTCAAAGTCAGAGATGCTAAGCATCCTCCAGGAGACAGAACAGTCCCTGAATGATTAAATTTTCCTACCCAAAGTTTCTTTGGAAAGCTTAGGCCAAGCTAGGTACCTCTAAGGAGCCGAAGACCCAAGTGTACTCTTAGGAAGTTATGGCATGGTCTTGGCTATGGAGGGTCTTGGGCTATGAAAGATGTTGAGACAGAACTAGGTCACCCCAATGCCAGAATCTTCCTTGGTGTCTCTTCATGGGTTAATATACTCATTGTGGATTTCTCAGTACCCTAGAGCACTGACCAACCTCTCTTCCTCTTAGAGGCTCAGGGCACTCCCTACCTCACATTGCCACTACCATTGTGGCATCCAGGCAGTGCTAACCTTTGACACTCAGTCTCACTCTGCACTTTAGGAAAGGTGCACAGCTGTTCGTTAGATTTTTGACAGGCTTCCAAGTCACTTGTGGCAAAGAGGTACCTGGATAAAGTGACAGTCTGGCATGGTGGCAGTTACACATTTAACACCAGTTGACAATCACTGGCTTTGCTGTCCACAATATCAATGTAACTTAACTGCAAAGAAAACCAGATCTATCTATCTATGCCAGGGTTCTAGTAACACCCAAGCCTCTGTGACTACATGAATAACACAAAGAAACCCTCTCAAGTACCCAGCACTTTGCAGTCCTCTGTCCAAATGACTGAGCATCTCACATAGAGGGGATACTTTGGCAGCCCTGTCTGTCAGGGAGCTCTGAACTCCCAGGCCTTTGGGGGTTGAGACATGCTGACTTTGTAAATGTACACACTGCAGTGTGTATGCTGAAGTCACAGCAAATAGATGGCAGACGCCTCAAAACTGACATTTGGGCAGCCCCCACCAATATGCTGTCAGACACCCTAGTATTAAAAGTAGGGCAGCAGAGCAGACGGAGCCCAAAAGTAGTCAGATCTATGACTGTACTCCAGACACGTGGCATTGTTCCTCTTTGTGGACATATTTTTTCAAGTTGCTAAATTGATCGTCTATAAAAGCTAGCTATGGCCAAAAATGAACATTTTGCCAGTAGCTCAAGTCATTTGATTTAGATTATGAATCCAGAAATAGTATACTTCTTAATCACAGAACTGTAGCTTTGGCTTTTGCTCATTCCTAAGAGTTGACAGACAAACCCAAATGGACATTCTGACTTAAGAGAGGTGAGCAGAAAACCAGCAGAGTGCCTGAGCTCCATAAGCATTCAGGAAATGATTTATCTAATAGAGGGAGAGAGAGAGTAGGAAGAGGGAGGGAGGAAGTGACAGAAGGAAGAGGGAAACATCCATTCACCATATGTCTGAGCAGAGGAAATTCAGGGACACACGCATTCACCTCCTCAATCTTTGGTGTTCCCCCAGGGCCCAGGCCACTGGGCAACACTCATGAGGCCCTTTACTGGTCCCAGAATTCAGTATCTGGGCCACCACAAAGCCTTTTCCACAGGACTGTTGTGCTTGGTTTCCAATATTTTCTCATGTATTCATTACTTTGAGTAACTCAGAGTCAGAAAAGATGCCTCCTCTCAAGGCTCTTTTTCTTCTACAGGATGTGATGGTGACCTTACAGGACCGTCTCTCCCTGAGGTACATTGAGCATTTTGCTCTTGTCCTTGAGTATATTGGGCCAGAACAGAATCACAAGTTCCTGATTCTCCAAGACAAGCAGCCCCTGGCTTATGTAAGTCACCCTTTAGCCTGGCTTTGTCGCTGTGTATAACCAATGCTAGAGAAGAGCACCCAAAACACTGCTCAACTAGAAAATTCATCATGATGTAGTCAACCAGCTCCCAGAAGTCACAATTCTAACCTGAGGTGGAGTGTGTGTATGCATGTGTATGTCTATATGTATGTCTATATGTATTCTGTATGTATATGTGTATATATGTATGTGTATATGTGTGTATGTATGTATGTGCATGTGTATGTGTATATTTATTGTGTATATATGTGTATATGTATGTATATATGTGTGTATGTGTATGTATGAATGTGTATGTGTATGTATATGTGTATATGTATATGCCTATGTGTGTATGTGTTTATGTACGTTGTGTATGTATGTATGTGTGTATACTGCTGTGAGTGGAATCAAAGGACTTGTACATCACTATTCCTCTGAGCCACAGCCCAGCCTTACCTGAGGGGCTCACTATCCATCTCTAGAGAACCTTTGACAATGCCCTTTGTGACCTAACAAAGGCATTTGTCTTGGTCTCTATTGGCAACTCTCCTGTTTCCTGGAAACACTGCCGGCTAGATCCCAATGCTTCTTAAGAAGAAATTTGGCCTCTTTGATGAGGACTGTGATACAAAAATGTCAGAACTAGAATCAAGTAGTAGTTGGGAATGAACTGTGTAGGGTCAAGAATAGGTAGCACATCATCCCCATCATCTTCCAAAGCAGAGGAGGACAAACTATCTCATCCTCCTAGCCACACCATATGGGAAAAGACCATTAAAATCTAAGATTGCTATATTGGATTTCACCCATATTGAACCACCAGGAAACATCAGAGAAGTGAGCAGGGCCAATCGGCATTCCCTGGTAGGGTAGGAAAGAGCTGAAGAAGGACAGTTAGAAAAAAATAGCTTTTAGAAAGTGTATGGAAGCCAAACAAAACTCATAAAGCAGCCCATCAAGATAGCATACTCCTGGAATCTAGTATATGACAAGCTGAGGCAGGAGGATCTGGAGTTTGGGGTCAGCCTGGGCTACATAAAGAGTACTACGGTAGTTTGGGCTACAAAGCAAAGAAGCGAGGCTGGGGATGAAGCTCATTGGTAGAGTATTTGACCTGCATGCATCAGACCCTTCTGATCCCTATTGCTGGGTAAACTGGGTATGGTGTTATGCACCCATAATCCCAGCTCTTGGAGGTAGAGGCAGGAGGATCAGAAATAACGTCATCCTTGACTAAACATCGAATTTGAGTGCAAGGCCAGCCTTAGATACGTGAGACCCTGTCTCAAAACAAACAAATCAGATACACATAAAAAAGACAATATTTTATGAAAGAGAGATTCAAATTTCAGCTCAAATACAATCCAGGTAGGAAAGGAAAGGTGGTATCTGTTTAGAGAGCTGAGGCACCTCCTACTCTAGCCAACGAATAGTCCTCTGAGTCAAATTGGCTTCTTGTTCCAAATGGGATTTCAAACGTCTTTATTATGAAAATTTTTCAAACATACACAATATATATGAAATATCATATGATAAACCCTAGTGTCCATCTCCAGCTTCAACAATTACCATTGTATTGCCAGCATGTTTCATCTGTATCTCTAAATGAGGTTTTCAGTCTTCCTTTGAACTCTCTAAGCATCAATTAGTCTGTTAGATGCTAAGCCTGTCTGCAAGAAGAATCTGATACATTTTCAGGGCCCCTCACCCCTCACTCCCATCTTAGCACTTAGACTCAGTTCTTTGTAGGGGCAATGAAACAACGGGGTCTTGCTATAGATCTCAGACTACTCTCAAACTTGTGATGACCTTCCTGCCTCAGCCTCCCAAGTACTAGGATTATGCATGAGCTACTGCATAGACCTCATTCTTGATAGAGACCATGTCCTAAAAAAGTGATTAAAAAATACTAGTCACAGCCAGGCATGGTGGCACACGTCTTTAATCCTAGCACTCAGGAAACAGAGGAAGGGGGAATCTCTATGAGTTCAAGGCCAACCAGGTCTACAAAGTGAGTCCTGTCTCAAAAGAAAAAAGCTTCATTGATAAATTAATAATATAAAAATAGGGTAATTATAAAACTATATTATAGTAAAAGTTATGAGTTGTTTATTTCTTGAATTTTCTATTTGGGGCTGAGGATGTCTGTGGGTAACTGAAACCAGGGAGAGTAAAACCCAGGATGAGAGAGGCATGCTCAGTATGAATTGGCCAGGTATGAAAGAAACAAAAGTGGGAAACAACAGCCTAGCTCATCCCTACACCTACTTTAAGAAGCCACCAAGCTGCCTGTCCCCTCCCAGTCATTGATTCTATGGTTTCTTCTCCACCCTCTCCTCCTGGGGTTTCAGGTGGTACAGCGGACACACTATCATGGAATGAAATGCCTCTTCCGAATCAGCTTCTTTCCCAAAGACCCCGTGGAGCTGCTGCGTCGGGATCCTGCTGCTTTCGAGTACCTATACATCCAGGTAGAGTCTGGCTTGGGGACACAAAGATAGAGCAGTGGACAAACAAGCAGGCAGGCTCTTCTGCCATCACAATGAAGTTGCTATGTAGGGTCAACCTTCAGCTTGCTCTGAAGGCCTTTTCCTTTCTTGCTACTATTGTAGTCCATTGTCAAGCTGGCCAATCTGGTGACTTGAATTTGATTGTCAAGGTGCTGTCTACTTGTCCACTCAGATCCCATCAGTTTTCAGAAACAAGCAGTCCCAGGAACTCTGGTGCTTTCACAGAATCCCAAGGTTTAACAAGCTCTTTTGGGTTCCATGAACTCTCAACCCCCAACCCCTAGGTTCAGTAAGGAGATGGTGCTGACCTCACTCCATCCAGAAATATTTATTGAGCCCATATCCCGGGTCAAGTCCAATGGTGGGTCCTGACAATCAGAGGAGCAGAAAGGATACACTTTCCTCATTAGAGTTCCTATAATCATAACTATAACTACAAAAGGGTTCAATGTCAATATGACACCTAGGAAGC